CTGCGAAGGAATATTTAAAAGCGTACATGCCTCTTACCAGATATACATACATACATTTTCAAAATGGCAGGGTAGGCGTCCGTCTGCTGCCGACATAGCAGGAGGCTCCGTAGAAACCTTATAGGGCGATGTGTGGGCGCGGAAGCGGAAAGCCTCCATCTCATGGCCGAAATACATCTCTCCACGCTAAAGCTGATCTGCGCCTTGAATTTCGAGTATCCGGGTGTCATTGTTGAATCGAAGCGCGCTCCTCGTCACCTTGGCGCCGTTAGAAGGGAATGAAGACTTTGCCGCCCTGAGCTCAGCAACAAACATACTGTATGTCGCCGCGGTTGCTGGTCTTTCTGCCAGCAAGAGGAGAAAGCTTCCACCCCGCACTGGGAAAGGAGGAAGGCTTCAGCCGGCGCCGGGAGGAGAGCCGGCGCCGGGAGGGAGACCCGGCGCCGGGAGCGAGACCCGGCGCCGGGAGCGAGACCCGGCGCCGGGAAAAAGAGAATCCTCCCAACCCGGCGCCGGGAAGGAGGAATCCTTTCACCGGGAGAAGAAGAATCTTTCAAAAGAAGAAATCGTCACATGCTGATGGCAAGAAATAAAGCCTTTCTCCCAGCACCTAGAAAGATCAAACTTCAAAACCTTTTGAGGGCCTCACACACGGACAACCACATAATCAATGAACATAGTATACATTTATATACTGCTGAGCTTGCCGCGCTGTCTTCTGTGCCCACTTCTGTCGGGAACAATGCCTAAAACTAGCTGGTTCATAGCCGACTCGAAGACACCCGCGGACGACGATGGCCTGATGACCCCCAAACGTTGTGTCCACCACCATTTACCTTGCACCGTCCGAGGCATCTTCTCATTCTACACATTCCAAAAAAGTTGAAACTAAGCAGAAAAGTGAGCCTAAGGGAAGCAAGATTTGTTTTTCGCGCCCTAATTATAAATGGGCATCTGCCATGACCACGGGACAAGTACTTTCGCACATAACGGCTATTTCTTGTTTTGTATCAGTGCTCGGGTGGAAAAAGTGTGTTTCACCACCCATAGCCCTGCTACGCTGGAAGCCCTGCTGATTTGGTTCTCTGATATAGATGTTTAGACATAACAAAGGGACTCGTGAGAAGTTCTTTTTCAGTATCACTCTTGCCATGTGACCAAGACGTTGACAATCATTCGCACGTACAAAGGGTTGCACATAGTTTTGTTTCTTTTAAAGGTTCAAAGGAAGTCAACCAGAGTCAATCAAAAAACTTATTATCATTTATTTTATAGCAATATTACAATAAAGTGATATCTCTACATAGGATATGAATATTTATTTTTTTGGAGTTAGTTTTCAAGGTAGTATCCCCCTATGCTGGATACCCTACAATAAAGGGCTTAAGGCCAAAACCATTGAAAAGGAAATGGAGTTGAATACAAACTGATAACGGATAGGAGGATCTTTCCCTGCTGGGAAGCAGGTTCTCCCATGCCAAATCTCAAATATAGTTATTTATCATTGACAATTATGCAGCAACTATGCTTGAAACGTTGTGAATCCAGAAGGACCAATCATTGAAACAGTTGCAAGTCGGCTTATCAATGGATTGATTCAAAGGAACAAAATACAGGAAACTATGGTTCTTACTCACAAATTTCCGGGTTTTAACCATGTTTGACCATCAAATAGCTGATACAGTGACCATCGTACATGAATCAAATAGGGTTCAATCGGCGCAATGGGATAGTAATTGAACCCATTGGTGTCGAATTTTGACTCACAATTACCCAAATATGGGGGTTTCCTAAAATAGGGGTACCCCCCAATCATCCATTTATAGATTGATTTTCCATTATAAACCATCCATTTGGGGGTACCCCCATTTTAGGAAACCTCCACTCCACATAAAAATGCTGGTTCATGGCAATGATGGTCGCGAATCAACTTGCCAACTTGGCTAAAAATAGACCATCATTCACCAAGCACAGCTGCCAGAGGACAAAAGGCTTCCCATGATATTTCTTCGAACATCACCGCAATTTGTAGGCCACATTGAATCAACATTTTAAGTGAGTGAGCCGGCATCTTTCTATCTTCATTTTTTTGAACATGCATATATGTAGTATAAAATCAATAAAGTCCCAAACTTGGTCGGCAAAATTGTCCTGACATCTTATCCCAAAATCACCAAACATCAACTGGTGATGGACGAAAACCGAGGAAATACATAAATACATACATACAGCATACACAAGTATCCTAATCCCGCTTAAAATTATCATCTAATTATCTAATCACCTATAATCACCTATGAACAGAAAAAACAAAACCTTGGAATGATCATATAATGATCATGGGCTCAATCCAAGCAATTCCCAAGCCATGGCTATCGCCGTCTCTAGAGCCCTGCCAGTTGCGCTCACCTGGCACAAAGAAGACGTAGCAAGCGAAGCAAACCGACGCCACGGCCACCAGGAGTGATAGGACCTGGCGAATACACCGAGTCATGACACAAATGTAGGAAATGTGGAGGATATATATATATATACACAATACATATATATATATATATATGTATGTATATAAATACATACTGGGCCAATGGGGTTTTAGCCTCTGGCTAAATCATCATTTTCATGGCGATCCGGAAAATCCATGAAAATCCAGCATTTGGAGAGGATGGTCGATTGTCATGTTATTCATGTTTCATTTCCAAAGGGTATAATGATTGCCACTATGATATTTGGAGATGTTGCTGATGATGGGCTAGAAACCCAATACACATGGGGGTTAGAAACCCACAGAAAACCCACCAGCAATAGGGATATCATACTGGTATGTCTAAAATCTGAGTGTGTTACCTGGAAATAGGGGATTTAACACACCAAAAGTGCAATTTTAAATTGGGCACATGACAGTTAGCCAGTGGATGGAATGGGGGTACCTTATTTTCAGACAAACTCGTGTGGCAAACCCATAATATGGACGTCAAACCAGAATGCTTAATGCCAACCATCTCTACTGAACTTGGGGTGGTTCGTTGGGATTTTGCCAGTTGGAGGCACCAATTTTTACATTGTGAGGCCTCAGCCGGCCAAACATAATGACTCAGTAGCTCCATTTCGGGTACCTCAACCGACTGGATTGGACATAGAAAAAGAGATGGGAACCCCCTTGATCCACTGACCAATCCAGGAAAAGTTCCAACTATCGGCAGTGAGCCAGGGTTATAGATGTTATATAGTTTATAGTTACTTGGAGGATCATCCCACTTAAGTGATTTGTAAGTGGCACTTGTAAGCTGTAAATGGGATAACCCTAGGCCCCTAGGGGACTTAGTGAATCACCAGAGTTAGTTATTTTCACCACTGGGATGATCCTCCGAGGATCAGGTGCAACTACCAACCACCAAGCCTTTTTGGACCCCTGTAACTGAGATGTACTTATCATTGGCCCCTCTTGATCAGTCTTGATTAGTCTTGATTGGTGGTTTCAAGCCCAAAATTAGTCTCGTCCTTTTGGATCATCATCCCAAGTAGAGTTTAAACATAGAAGAACACACCAACCAAATGTCATTAAGCCAGCACGTTCTATGGTTTGATGCCAACAAAAACCGTTCAAGGTGCAAGGACGTCTGTCTGTTTCTAAAGAGAGAATCCCAATCCAACCCTTTCCATGCCATCACATGACATCTTTTCACATCTTCATTCCTACCGAAAAATGGCCTTGTCAGAAATCTCCAATCCAGGTTAGCCCCCCTCCCAACCTGGTAAGCAATGAACAACTCATCAAAGAAGCCACCCATCACCACGGTAGATCCCAAGATATCCTACACCAATTGTGTTCACACCCGAAGTGCACCCAAATACTGCGCCGCAGCAGTGGTTGGGCGTCCGCAGAGCACTGAGCCAACCCAGGCCTTGAGAACCAATGCCATGGCATAAAAGGGTGGATTGAAAGGGGCGTTTACAATAACACAGCTTAACCCAACAAAACAATTACAATTAACCCAGTATTTTAAGCGTAGGACTCTAGACATTTGCCTTATATCTTTTGGGTGGTGAAATGGTGACGAACTTTTACAAAGGGAAGGTTTACGATAAGGAACCAAGGGTATGAGTCATGAGTCATGAGTTATAAGTATCTTTTTGGCTGTATGGCCTGTATACGTCAAACGTAAGCAACACTCCCTGATGGGTGAATGCTATAGCAAGAGCCATAGGACAACGAACAATTGGTGGATACTCCTCGGAGCTGAGCATAATCGCCGCTTTACAGGTAGCCTTAGATACCCTGCTCAGAAAATATTCATGATGTTCGAAATGTATTCTTCGACACTATAGACAATCAGTATTTATAATGATTACTGTATCATTGCTAAGCTGGATATGATACACTATGATAATTAAACAAAACTTGAAGTAGTTGTATGCAATATAAATCAGCTTTCATCATTCAACACGGCAAAACAGTATAGCAAATCAACCTGCATAACCAACAGAGACACACACACACACCATTTTTGACCTAGCAAACACATACAATTGCCTTGGTTTGATACCACCCATTCGTAGAAGTGTGAAGACCTCATAGAGATCTGTCCCTTAAAAGTCACGAGCCCAATAAATGAACCCCCCCTGTGCATGACATCATGAACGCACAAAATCAGGGTCTTAAGGGACTATTTCACATATCCATGGATGTTTCAAGTCTCTTGTCCCATGTTTGAAATAATTATCTAATATCAATGGATTGGTTTAGTCGGGAAAATTGAAACCGGAAACCATCGATTTTCCCATTCAATATGGGGCTTTCCTGTAAATTTTCCCTTAATCCGATCCATTGATAATATCACTGCTTTAATCATCACGAGACGTTTCATATGTGCGAAGGGCCTTCCACCAATCCCTGGGTTTCGGACAACGGCGACAGGTTGCTCCGTGCAAAGCCGATACGACCGTGCCTGCCATGTGAACTGCCGAGAAACGGTGCCGAAATTCGGAGCCCACATACCCTCGACACGGCTAGTATCCAATTCTCCCTTAGCTACAATATCCTATGGCGTACTGATTTTGACAGCTCTCTCTCTCTCTATATATATATATATAGAATTATTTATCATATATATATATATATACAAATATACAATTATATATATATGTGATAAATAATTCTATAATAAGATTATTATATCTGTATTTGAAGCAGCTGGATCTTGTCCCCTCATACTTGGTTGACAGTGGGTTGAAATCCCAACGGAGTGCTCTCCATGACTGACCATGTTCCATGATGCCAGGGGATATGGGCGCTGTGAAGCATCAATTCGCTGTGGAGGGCATTGCACATGACCTATGGATCAAAAGCCTGGTCCCCGTTTCCTGAACTTCAAAATGTCTGGTATTCATGGATGTTCCATGCTGATGGTATTGTTTCTTTGACCATTTCGACCAATCCTCAAATCTAATAGTAGATATAGATATACCAGTAGAAAGAATTGTGAATCAATATGATATTTAATAATATATAATACGAATACTAAATATGTGTCTGAAAACGGGGTACCCATTCTATCCACCAGTTAAACATATTACAACATATTACTATAACATAGAAATTGTATGGGCAAGCCTTGGTAGGCCCCTTTGTTTGCTGCTAAGCTGCTTGAAGTCAAAAGTTGTGTAGAACGCTCTCATGAACCTGTCTCGGCTCACCAACATGGGTCACGGGTTGGACCGGTTGGGGGTACCCCAAGAATGGATGGTTCATAGATGTCAACAGCAACAAATTAACAGGTTACAAAATCCCTGGGGTATGTTTTTAGCAATACCCAAGTACGACCTTGGCAAAGAGAAGCTTGGAATGCCTTGGACTTCGTCGACTGGCGATGTCGAGGCCATATTATTCTGGCTAAGATTCTCCATGCATTGAGCGGTGGTTAAACCTTCGGTATATCCGTTATTTCAATTTTGTATCTACTGACCTAACATTTACTGGTTAGTAACGATTAGTAATTATGATGTTTGTTATCGAAATCTTATAATATGTTTAGCTATTGAATTACCCTTCACCAGTGGCTTTCCCATCATTCACTACGGCACTGGTCACCATCTGCGGTACTGGTGGTGCCCGCAGCTTCCCGCGCGCACGTCATCCCGAAGATCAAGGGCACAGGTTGCGAGGCGCTGCCACGCTGGATGGAGGGGACACAGGATGTCCTGCGGGGCGTTGGGCCAAGGGATGATCCAGAATGATGGAGGTTTCACCTCTTGAACAATGAGCCAACTGGGCCAACTAAAAGATGGAGGTTCGACACATCTTACTACTTTGTATTGGTTGATCCCTTCCTGAAAGTTAAACGTGGTCAAACTCAAAGATGGGGAGAGATGGGTTTTTGACCAATCTTTTTGAACAAGAATCGGAACAAGAAGTGTCTCAATACCAGCCAGCAGCTACAGTAGGTAAAGTTGGAGGTTTGACCTACGAAAATTGGAGGTTTAACTCCAATGGTTGGCCCAACCCCAAAATTGGAGGTGTGACAACGTGAAATTGAAGGTTACCAGAGTAACATGGCTTGAGCAACAAAACAATCCAGTTTTGACAAACGAAAAACGAACTATCAAAATCAAATTAATAATGCTGGCTTCACAGGCTGAAAGTTGGTTTTATGGACATCATTTGGGGTCTTTACCGCCTGAAAGCGGGGGCTTGTAGACACGAATTGGGTTTCAAATTTACGACGATGAAGACCTAGAATGGTGGTCATCAAGCATTAATTCCTCTATAATTTCCTCTGCCAACATGACCCATGATTCTAGACCAGACTGCAAGAAGCCAACTGGTTCGTTAGACCACCCTCCAGGAAACTGAAACAATGCTATGGAACATCATCATTCTGAAATAAATAAACAAATCATATACCCTCTGGTAAACTAACATAGCTATGGACAGTCACCATTTCAAACAGGTAAATGAACTATATAAAATGGCCATGGCTCCAATAGCAATCTGTGACATTGCCAGGGGGTATGTCATATGGAGGTTTCCTAAAAATGTTGGCATCAAATCATCCAAATGATATCAATGATCTCAAATGTTCACCAGTTTCGTATATATTCCTGTTGAAAACCTGGCTTTGACTTGGGGATCCCCCATGACTGAAAGCCGACGAAAGCCCCACCGAAAGCCCCACCGAAAGCCCCATGGCATCCTACCAGTGATGGGATCCACGGACTCCAAAATGAACTCGTCTGGAGACATGCACAAGCTGAACTGTTTATCCTTGGCGTTAGCATTTTATGGGGTACCAAGGGGATACCAAGGGGTCAGTTCCACAGATCCAAAAAAGTCTTCACAAATACTTAACATGTTAAGAGATGCTGGAGAATGTACTATGATTCACTGATTCACTGGCCTGAAATCAAATAAAATAAGGCCATTTGGGGAGAATTCCCCTAAGCATCATTCCAGTGACGTTGCAATGAGGTTATCGAGAGGTATGCATTGAACTAACAAATGCGGACAGAACATTTTTTTTGTGCCTTCTTCATCCACGTTTGTTCATCCAAAATCTGAGCACTGCACATGCTCATCGATGATGTTGATCACTAGCTGCGGTATCCTGCAGGTCACGGGCCGTTCATGCTCAATCGCATGAAGGATCCCTGGGAATTGTCGACATCCGATGATGTAACGTTAAAATCTGCTATCAATGGTTGATGTTTGTTGGGGAGAATCCGAAAAAAAAGCGATCATATTCCCCTGCCTGTAGCTGTTACTACTGTTTAAGATTGATCGAATTACGGAAACTGCAAGGTCCCAGTAATTACTCATAAACCACGGCCAAGCAATACTCATGGCTAAAAAAAAATACAAATCAATTATATACGCAAATGCTCAACCATCCATGGATTTTCTGGGGAACTGCTCTGAATCGCTTCCCCGCTTCCTTGGAACATCCCTGGTTGAAACCAGAATCGGGGACCTGTGTCGGAGCATTGAAGGAACAAGGTTCCTCCAGCTTTCTCTTGGGATTTTGATTCCTATGTTTCCCATGTATCTCAGTGTCTCCAACAAAGCAGGCACAGGCCACAGGTTGCTGCACATTGAATCATATCCTGCACATACAACTAAAACCCCGCGAAACTCACTTCCAACAGTTCACACACACTGTTCGGGTATGTTCAGGTCACACCTATTGCACCCCTGAATATATGCACCCTCCACTTTTTTCTTGCGTTCTGCGTTTGGATCATTGGGAGCATGTTTCTCTGCGGATATCACCTCAACTGACCATCTGAAGCTACAAGTGAAATTCCGGTTCCAAACATGTTCACTTTACCTCTCTGCATGATGGGGGACTTGCAACCCCCGTTTAACGTTTGCTTCATTCAAACACACAATCAATTCTTTTTTCTGGCTAATCTTTGGATATCGTTAGCATCTCCAAGTTAACGACAACAAACCATCAAGCAAACCTAGTGAAGCCGGGATACTTATCAGGACTCAGAGGGAAACATTTAGGGATTGCACCACATCATTAATCTGCTCTGCTCCAGTTGGCTGACGCATTGGTGCCATCTACTCATGCCATCTAGTTCACTACATTTCACCACATTTCACTGTCTATTCCAGGGTCCCTTATCTTTCAATCTAGGAACATATAGGAAAGTATCCACGCTATCCAGGAAGTCGTGATGAATCCATATGAATCCATCACAGCGACCCGAGGTCGGTCCTGCTAAGATCATTGGCTGGTGGACAATCACAGCTCAAGATTTGCCTGGCGGCACTCATCAACTCAGTCCGAAAAAATGTCCTAAGTCGTTGGGACTTCCAAAGCGCATGGTCAAAATCTAGGGTCTGGAATCACGGATCCATATGGATCCTCACTCATTGATGTCATTTTTTGTAAACTAATCAACTCCGACCTAGACCCAAATCAACACTGGGATTTATGACAGGTTCTCAAAGGCAATGATGACTTGCTACGTTGGATGCTCCAATAAACGGAAAATCACCATGCCCTGCAGAGAACCGTAGCGAAACTTAGATACCTTGCAAAGTTTGCTAACATTTGCAGGGTATTATCAAATTCCATCAATTTTCCATTCAAGCTGGCTAAACAATGAAGTTATGAAAAACTGTCCTTCGCCTGCGCCTCTCACTTTCCTCTGTCATATTGGCTCCCCAATGTCGGTTGAATCCCAATTTTATGGGTCAAGTCAAGTCCAATATTGAATTAACATGGGTTTTCCCATAAATAGGACTCAGTATATATGGCTACTAATATCCCAATATGGATAATTCATGATAATTCGCTATTATCGCAGGGTTTCCCATGGTTTCCCTAAAGAAGCCAGCGCGACTGCTCCGGCAGCGAATGGCAATTGGTGAAACGCCTCGATTTGCAAAGGGCGATTTGCGGTGACCAAGGTCGTCGGGGATACCGGAACGAGAGGTAGCATACAAGATATGTACATCATACGTAGTTTGGGAAGTACAAACAACATCCCCAAATGGTATGTGCTGATATTAGGTTTACCATGGTTTACCACATTAAACTGTAACTGTCAAAAAACATGCTTTGATAACGATTTCACTTGCTCCAAGGTCAACACCAGCGCAGCTCTGAAATGAGCCGATCGTAGACACCCGGCTCAATCACCTGGTGGCTTTGACCAAGAAACTTGGCATTAAAATATTGACTCACTGGTCAAAGAAAATCTGAAAGTCAATTGGAATTACCATTTGGGATCACTATCGGAACCAGTGGGATTACTTTCTGGTTTGATCAGCAACACATGAAAGGCCATTGGGAGAAAATCGCCCCAGGATTGTCCCATGAAAACCTCTACTGGATTCTACTGGCCTCTATTTGTAGAGAAATTTATAGAGAATTTCAATTGCAATGTTTGATTACCGGCGGGTATTCTGTATCGAAATTGGGGTGGTTATATTTGTGACATCTTGTGAACCTTGACTAGCTGCCGCAGCCAAACAACCCCAAGTCCTTGTTTCAAGAGTCCCACAGACCCCCAAAAATAGACTGCAATAAGCATGAGATGTGAGCAACAAAAAAAATGGGGGTCAACAGCATGGTACCACAATTCAAAAAAATCACTGATGTTGCCCATTTACCTCCCTGCAAACAAAATGATTATGCACATAAATATCCGAATGGTCAAACAATGTCAAACATATCCAAAAATGATATAGTGAACTTCAGGTTACGTCACTTTACCAAGGTTCACCCTACGATCTTGACGTGTTGAACTCTGACCAGTTCCTGCCGACAAATGCAGCAATTTGAGGCCCCTACCAGGAGTGACGATCCAGAATCAATCAAAGCAGGTGCACCCAACCTAGAACTGATTGGACCTCCCCTGTCACCAATGAACTGACTGCAACACTGAAATGTTTGGCGGTGTATGGTCATCCATCCCACCATGGGAATCCTTACAATGGGTGTAAATCCACCCATCAATGCTTTGATGACCACCCGATATAATCCATCTTTTGGCCATGACACATAATGACACATATGTTGAGGGTAACCACAGTTGGTAGAGAATCTGGTTACGTTGTATAAACACCATGTTGAAGGGGACATTTTTGCATCAAAACGCGAACAAATAAAACTCCAATCGCTTTATCTAAACAAATGGAAATTGCCAAAAAAAACATTTTGGTGGATGCATTGCTGTTGTGCACCAAATAGAATCCATTACAGTATTCAGGCATAATACGCTTCGCAAAATTCAGTACAGTAGTTGCAGATTTAGTAGTTCCAAATATTTAGATATTTCCATAGAGGGTAAAACAGTGTTGAAACAGGAATGGTTCGGTCTTCACGGTTCTATTTTTGTCCGTTCAACCTTCAGGATCTTTAGGATCTTAATTTTTTGGACAAAAGGTTCTGCCTAGAATTGCAGTATCAGTAGCCTTTGGAAAAAACAACAACACAATGCCTTGAAAGACTTGAACGAAATCCCATCTAAATTACACCAACGCCTAAACTGGAGTTTGCCCTTTACCTTAAACAAAAACCCATGGTGTAGCGACATTGTCCATGGATAAACACTCCTGGCCCACAACCGCCGCAGGAATGGTTGCCTTCACATTGAGCTGTTGGTTAGAAGGTAGTAGGTAGCAGTAGTAGATCTGTATGTAAAAAATAAATATATATATATATATAGATATATATATATAACACATATATTTAACATATATATATATATATAACGTATATATATATTATTATATAATATTATATCTTTATCATATATACATGCGGCATGAGAATATATACATATATAAATTAACTATATAATAAAGTACTATCTCATCTATCTCTATATATAGTATAACCGAAGGAAGTTTAGAAGTCAAGCTTCCGAGAATATGGGCAGATGAAAAGAAGAGGCGTTTTTGATGTTTTCAAGTTAAACAACTGAGGATGTCTCGCAGAATAGCTTCGTTTTCAAGCTTGCAGATTGCAAATGGACAGATAGATAGATAGATAGATAGACAACTACATTACACTACCTACACTACGCTACAGTCTACACTACATTATACCAGACTACAGTACACACCACTACAGTACACTACAGTACACTACAATACACTACGCCAATTACACCACACCACAACTACAACTGCAACTGCAACTACACTACACTAATTACACATCATTACAACTACAACTCCACTACACTACACTACAACTACAGCTACAACTGCACTACACCATACTACATCCAGCAGTTGTGGTGAGGTGACCACTGCAAACATTGCAACCACTCCAAAAAACACAACTCCAACCACCTTTCGGTCCATCAGTGGATTCACTCTGCCATCCGTGATTCACAACAACCAACCTCTCCTATAGGTTTCCTATTTTTGAAACGTCCGCCACCTCCTTGTGCGGCACTACTGGTATAATATAATGGTAAACGTATGTTTCCCTGCAATCCTCCAATCATGGACCACCTGAGGTCCCTGACGTGCCACGATCGGGGAAGGTCACCTCGACACCTACAGGAACTGCCGTTCATGGTGAAGTAGAATCAAAGGTGGATTTTAGATGATTTTAGATGAAATTGGACGATTTTAAAGTTTTGTGTCGTTTTTGACGATTTGGAACGGTTGTTGTTTAGACGATCCTTTACATTTTCAGATTACTTTTGCATGGGTGAATTTGGGGCCCATTCTCCTTGGATTTTTCATCTCGCCATGAAATCTCAGAATTTCCCATCATTTGGCCTCTAAATAGGCCGGATGATTCTGTTGATGTTTAATGACAGAGATATACCGGTCCCCCAAAAACACCAAAAGAGCTCTGGTGTCTTAATATGTCTTAATACAATTTGGGGCACCTACAAATCTATCTCATGATCCCGTCCCTCGGTAGGATGTTTGTTATCTATGTAGATATTGGATCCATTGGATCCCAAAACTCATAGATTTCATGCTTCGCCGATTTCGGTGCCTGTGTCACTCCAACCAACAGACCAAACGCTGGTCAGCCACAGGTCGGTGGTGGACATGTACTGGCCCTGGCGCCATAACTTTACATCGAATCATTCGGGTGAACGAACTGAAAGCCATCTAAAGATACAATTATGTTTACACTGTATACATAAGTATTTCAGTACATAACTTATATAACTTTACATAACTATCATTATAACGTATACATTTAATATCATTTAATATATGTATTTTGGCTGAAAGATTTCGGCCTTCATGAGTTGTCGGGAGACACAATCCCTGGTGTTCACCATTCCAAAGGCAAATTACAAGCAAGACCCCGTGCAAACAAACCAGCCGCCATTGTTTCCAACCACGGCGAACCGCTAACCTCAAAAACCTCTTGGAAAAGTGAACCTTCAGTGAAATCGCACACATACTGTGGATGGAAGAAATACTGCACCAGTTGATAGGTGGTTTCTCGTTTGTACCAAAAAAAATAGGGTTTCAACCATCCAAGGTGACCATCCACAGCATTTCTCGACGCAACAAAGGCTGAACATTAAACAGCAATGAACACTAACCAGCTCAGTTTATCCGGATTCCTGTTGGTCATATGGTGACTGCTTTCTGTGTTGCCATGGTACTTGGCTCTCAGTCTCAAGCATCTGCGTTTCAATCAGTACATTTGCTACCCCAACAAAGATAAGAAATGAAACGCAATATCTTTCAGTACCCAAATGTACACAGCGTATTCTATCAGATATGGCCAGGTTATATCCAAAAATTGAGTACAATTACAGATGACTATGATATCATTATATTCAATTATTCATTGCTTTGTCACTAGTCCATCGGTCCTCGAGGCTGGTCCCAAAAAAAAACATCAGGCCTTGCCGTAGCGAAAGCGCGTCTCCTGAGAAGAGTTCGCAGCAGATCGGGCAGAAAACCCTGCAAAATTTCATGGAAAAGTCAAACTCTTGAACATTTCTGGGAGAATGAATCTTCAGCTGCTGCTTTTGTTGGTGTGATTCTAAGTTATGATACCTCCGTATACCAAGATATACCAAGCATGTATGCTTGCTTCAGGATCCCAGGAAAGTGGCGGTTCTTGATGAATTCCCAGTTGCTGGGATTGTCTGCCTACTTGGATGACTCCATAGATCAGAAGTGCTCTAGGAAGTGAAATTTTAAACCCTAGGCATCCCTAGGCCCTAGATATCAATGACATCCAGGAATCGGGTCATGAGATGATCCTCCGTTCCCACTTCCCATGGCGTGCTGACCGCACCTTGGAGTGACTCGCAAGATCTGGGTCTCCGAAGACCAGTTGCGACCTGGCCACACGACAATCCCCCCATGGTGTTGCTGTAACAATGTCCTCCGAAAACCTGCCCCGGGCCTCAAAATGTCTGAAACCTAGATCCCATGGGATACCCTCACAGCTTCCAGAAAACAAATGCCACATTTTCTGGGAACATCCCAAATTTTGGCTCAACATTTTCAGCAAGTCAGTCCCAAATTCATGGCGAACTTGCTGCACCAAAATCACCATTCCTTAGACACTCAAAAAGATATAACCATTAATATATGTATATGAATATTATATTCACATATATATATATTTATATACACTCATATATATATATAATGCCTATCCCCATGTATGATCTCCATCCAACTCATCCTTCCAACCCTCACCCGGCCCAAGTGACTTGGCATCGTTGGAGCCGCGGCCGGTGAGGTAGAACGAGAATTGTGCTGGAAGATGCGGATGCTCCCTGCGACGGGCCAAGGCTTGTAAGGGATCTCGAAAAAATGGCACATCTGTAAAGCATGTTGATGTTTTTGTTTGAGGTATGTATATATATATAATATCCTATATGAACTATGTATATGTGTAAATGTGTAATTATATGATATAGCAGTAATAAATAATACCGACAATGATAATGATGATGCTACTAAATAGTAATGTTACTAGTGGTAATAACAAATAATGATTATTAGCACACATAAATTCATGTAACAACATATATCCTTATAATTTCTTATATATATATATTATACACATAGATATGTAAGTTAATAAATGTTCATGAGCATACACTATATAAACATTATATATGTATCTATTGTAGGTATCTTCATGTAGGATCTACATCAATGTGTGCTTTTAATGTGATCTCTGTGACCCTGCACTAATCAAACATGTCTTGTTGAGGAACCCCCCCGTGCGTTTATGTTGAAGCCATCTCCAACGGGCTGTAACGGGCTGTAAATGAGGATCCCTGAAACATCCCAGAATGATTCAGCTGAATGCCTGGTTTAGCAAAGTGAAAATCCACCACGTACTTTGATATTCAGTTGCCACATCACTTTATATATACTTCAATGTTGCGCTGTTACATTGTAGCTGGTGGTTTGTATATGTTTGTATGGGATTCCGAATCGGGATTAACATCTCAGTGAATCAACACAAGAAAGGTCAAGCTCGAAAGTTCAGAGGGCCATGGGGCATGGATCTTTTTGGGATAGGTTCCTTGGCTCCTAGGACGTTGAACATCTCTAGCTCCTTTTTACTCCCCGATCTCTGCTTTCATGCTTTCACAATGACCAGCTTTCCCTTCTGACTCCTCGGGATTATCATATGAAATAATTTGGGATAGGAACCCTGAGAATGCCACTTCGCCAGCATTTCAAGTTATGTTTCAGTCCCAAAGAAACATTGGGACCCCAGTGACCGCAAATGATTTTTCTCGGCCTGAAGAGAGTGGAGACAAAGGTCTCACCCCGCAAACTTCGGTCCGACGCATAGTGATGCGCCAAACCCAAAATACCGTCAGACTTCATGTGGGTATCCTCAATCCGGCCAATCCGGTCGCCGAAAAAAATGGGATGTGCTGGACCAAAAAAGATCCCAAGTGGTTCAGAATGGATCAGAATCACGCAATGCTTAGCTAAGCCAGTTTTAGATGGGAGAAGCAAATTGCAAAAGGATTTGGACTGTAGATGGGTTAACTTAGTCAGTTAGTAACTGGGATGCACATCCAAGCAGTGCATTAAACTTACCAAAAAAATAATCATCAGTCCTGCCCATGCCCAGGACCACCACATGATACAACCCGTTTACCCAATGGAAATACACCTGAATATACCTGAATTTTATATGGGCTATAGAAGAATTTGCAGTCACTTCTCCCACTATTCACTTGTCTTTGCATCTGTGGGCTTGCTCCGCCGGCAAACTGAGGGCCCGGCAGACTCCATGTGATCCACTTGAATCAAAAGTTGCCCTTCTACCTGAGCGACCACTTCGCTGCTAATATCCATACCATTCCAATAAATGATTTTGGAAGTCGAGATTCATGGCCAGTAAGGAATTTGATTCTATGTAATGTATATTATATATAGAATATATCTATCCCCTTATAACTGATTTCATAATATCACCAAGCAAGCCTAGGATTCTTCACAGCTTATCACTTACAACTCATGTTGCGCCGTGAATTGACCCCATGGCCTATGGACTTGCAAATTACTTCTTTGCGGGAATCTACCACGTGTTTTTTCTCATCAAAGCTGGAGGAGCAAGGTCCTCTCAAAAAATCTGAAAACAATTCAGGGAAAACGCAAGCACAGCGGGTTCTGCCAATGATTGTTCCATCAATTTGCCACCAATTTTGGACATCCTGCAGAACAAAAATGGCCGGATGTACCTCTTGCAGAAAGACAAAAACCGATCCCAAAATGGACATAAAAATCAGAAAATCTCCAGCACTATCCCCATTGGAAAATCCTTAGGGTCAAAGCACCATCAAGATTTTGCCCGGTTCACCGTTTCGGACTTCAGGCGCACCTCGAGATCTCCAACCCGCACCGTATCGTAGAAGGAGCCTCCGGCGCTAGCATCATTGGATCCAAGGGAGCGACGGAAGTGGTGGGATCTTACATCATTATACCCAGAAAAAATGAGATAGGGTGATTTTACCAAGGGCCGTTTAAGCAAGAATAGAGATATCACTGATAATATCATCAGCAACATGTGCGTGTTTTTTGAAACAGGATTTAACATGTTTTTTTCAGCGCATGTGTTCGTTCTGGTAGAAGTCCTCACGGTTGGGTGAGTTTAAGGAACATCTGGGTCTTATGGTCACCTTGGTCACCTGATGCTCTGGGCCCACTTTGTTTCCTGGCATTGTAACATATGTAACCCATAAAGAGGCCGTTGACCTTGGGATCTCTTGGTATCTCTTGGGACATCTTGAGGTGTTTTGGCTGCTCGAGATCGAAGAGGCCTCCATTGGCCACCGTGCCATCCCCATAGCGGAAGGTGATACGATTGCCAATCCTCAGCTCGAAGGTGGCGAGACGTGAGGGCCTTGCCAGCTATGGAAACCATGGCCCATTTGATGGATGATTTACCTACAAAAACTGATTTTCCATGGCTATGCTAAATAGCTAGCGGGTATGTTAAACAGAAACAATCATAACACAAACAATATGGTATCTAACCAGCAAACCAGGAAAAACATGTGTTTCTTTGAACAAAGAACCAATTGTAGACCTCCTGAAGATCTATAGAGCATAGAACATCATAGAACTCCAGTTTCAAATATGTTCTACGTTCATGGACATGTACCCTTTTCGTGATTTGTTTCGTGAATTTATACGGGAGAGAACCTTCCTCCCAACGACTTCACACATGGAGAAGAACTGGGTCCATTGAGGCGTACATGTTGGTAAACATACCGGAAGAGGTGAACATTTGAGTCTCTGCCCCCACCTGCATGTATAGGGACCCCCGAATAGTTGGCATATGTAAAAAACATCAAAAATGCCATCTAAGCTCAAAAAACAGCATACAGGATTTAGGGGTTTATAGATGGCATACCCCACGGGATACTTGTATACTTGACCTGTTTAACAAGTATAGAGATTTCTAGGTTGCAAAGATGGCACGCCATATTCTGGGGATAATAATCTATAATAAATAAATAAATACATAAATAAATAAATAAATAATTATATATATAGTGCCCTAAGATGGCTTTTGCAAATCGCTACAAATAGCAGATTTTTTGCATTTTGTCGTGACCCGATAGATGGCACACACTGAAACAACATATGAGGTTGAAATTTCATTGATGCCATCTTAGTGCTTGTACCGTTTGTGCCATCTATTCGGGGGCCCCTAAAAGTTGTTCCCGACATACAAGGAGAAGCGATGAATTTCAGCACTCCTGAAAACAATCTGGGTCTCCATTGCAGTGTGCTGAATCATTCTGGCTGGACATTTGAACTGCAAAAACTGCTTGTGTTCGGTAGTCGCACTCTAGCTCCAACATTCTGATCGCAGGGTTTGAAGTGCCTGATTCCAAGCCATTCGATCTGGTTCTACATATGAACTGGCCTCAAGAAAACCTGGTGTCTGTCTGGGATGTACATAAATAAAGCTGCTACCCTCCAGCCAACCCACATGGTTTGCTTTCTCAGCTCCACCACTAGATAAGTGCATAAAGCAAGGCTCAGATTGAAGCAGTTTCTGCCCAAAAACTTCAGTGGCCACAAAAAACTGCAGGAAATTATTTTTGTACTAGTCAACTATGGTAACTATAAATAAGTATGACTGGGGTAATTTTTTCTGAATGATGGTAACTATTACCAACCATATGAATCCATATGAGCTCATATAGGTAACTCTATGCAATCAAAACCAATGTACCATGTCGACTGAGTCCAAGTAGTCCAACCGAGTTTTCCGCATCTGAGACTTCGGCTGTTCTGCTTGGCAGGATTTTGTGATATCAAACCTGGAAATCCCAGGAGATATGCAGGAAAAGATAGAGGGAATACACAGGAGTATAGAATATATATATATATATATTTACACATATTTACGTATATATACATCCCCGTTGAAATTAGTACTTGTAGCTACAAAGCGCGGGGTCTTGCAAAAAAACCTACAGAATGAGTCGGTGCAAGTAAACAAAACTCCATACAAAATGGTAAGGCTTTGTGCATCAACCAGCTCTTTGCAGCACCACCACATTTTGTAGGGAGGTATATTTTGCCCGGATGTTTGATTTATTTTTCTGAATATGAATCTTGCTTGCATGCTTGGACCCTGACCCAAAAAAGGTATCATTTTGTAAGAACCTGTTGCTCTGCCATTTCCCTGCATTTTTCTCGTCTTTCAGATCAGGGGCAGCCCATACTTCTTGTAAGGTAATGGGCTCAATGATATTTGCGGCCTGTCAATTTACAATGTTGATACATGTAACGCCAAATGTAAGCAGCAGCAGAGTTGCAACCACTACAATTTCAAAATGCAACGCCATGCCACTTGTCCGAGTCGGCCCGACTTTCCAACACAAATCTTGTGCAAAAGAAGAAGGGGTATGAACGCTTCACTTTTTGTCAACATTGTAAAAAGACAGGCCGAAAATATCACTGAGCCCAGTTCCTTTCAAAAAGGATGGGTTGCTCCTTAAAGACAATTGAGGGTTGAGTGAGAAAAACGCAGGGAAGTGGCAGAGCAGCACCTAAACAAAACCGTACCATTTTGTATGGAGAAATCTTTATTTGTCCACCCCCCTTTGAAATTAACCCTGACAGGTCAGGGCCCACTTCTTATAGCTATAATCCGCGGGCCCTTGCAAAAAACCTACAGAATGAATGGGTGCAAGTAAAAAAATACCCATACAAAATGGTACTGTTTTGTTCACCAACCAACTTTTACTCCACTTGACATGTTGTAGGAAGGTATATTTTGCCCAGATTTTTGACTTCTCTCTTATTCCGAATATGAGCCTTGCTTGCATGCTTGGACCCTGTGGCCAAAAAAAGGCATCGTTTTGTAGGAACCTGCTGCTCTGCCATTTCCCTAAGTTTTCCTCACTCAGCCCTCAATTGTCTTTAAGTAGCTGCCCAACCTTCTTGCAAGGAAATGGGCTCACTATGACCCACTGATATTTGCTGTTTTTATTTTCAAAGTAGACAAAGAGTAAGGCGTCATACACTTGTCCGAGTTGGCCCGGCTTTCCAAAGCAGCTCTTTGGCAACAATGGTTATTTTTTTACTCGCCCCTACTCATTCTGTAGGCGTTTTGTAAATCTCCCAGGTTTATACCTATTCATGAAGGGTGGTCTGACCCCGTGGGGTGAATTTCAAGACCTCTCAAGGGGGATACTAGTAAGATCATGTAAGATCTCAAAATCAACGGCCATGCCACTAGTCCGAAGAATCAATCAGACTGGCTTTCCACAACAACTCTTGGGCAAAAAGATGCACGTTGCTTCACCTATCCTCATTCTACACATTAGGCTATTGAAGCATTTTCCTATACAAAATGGCAGGGGCTGAGGTTCCATGTGTTCCTCCAACTGCTGTGCGCCTGCTCACATGGACTTTCACCGTTTTGGTCGACGCAGCTTCCCGTACTCATCGCTGTATCGATCTTTGGTCCTACGCAACCCTACATTGTTGAGCCTGGGCATGACAGGTGCAAAGCCACTAAGTTTCAAGAGCAGGCCGCCACAGATTTTGTATGGCGCCTCGAAAACCGAACAAATTCCAAAATGGAACTGCCCATGGACCGAAATGGAAATTGGGGAGAGCAGGAAGCGTACTTTGAAGGTCTGAATAAGCAAAATGCAAAATGCTCAAAAGAGAACACAGCCAAAAATCTATGCAGAATTGGGCGCGCAGCTCGTTTTCAAACCCAGCCAAGTTTGCAAACTGCATTTTGACATTGCTATATGATAGTGATTTATGCGTAAATCATCTATTTTATTGCTCTTGCAATATGGCAAGGTGCAGGCAGGCTCCCTATACAAAATGGCCTCCGAAATGGGCCTTGAGCCCCTTCAAATTAGCATATGCTACAAAATGGCTGGGCTCTTGAAAGTGATTTCCTACAAAATGACCCTAGAAATCCGGCTTATATGAGCCTGGAGGCCAGCCATTTCATAGGGGAAATTTCAACGGGGATATATATTCTATATATATATAATATTATGTCCGGATATCATAGGATATCCATGTAAGACACATATTGTAGCAGTTATACATACTCGTAAAATCTTATAAAATAATAATAACATATAATACACATATATATATAATAACATTGTGTAACATTGTATTTCACCCAATTTCACTGAACACTGCTAGCCACTGTAAATCCTACTCCTTGTGCCTTAGCCTGGTGAGATGATCGCCATTTGATGGCAGAGCAGCTTTGCATGTACAACATCTTGAAATATGGTCAAATATGGTCAAAGATTGTAGTTCAACATATTCAACATACTAAATATGGTCAACATACTAAATATATCTAAATATAACTTCTTAAACGAACTGAATGTGGTCAAATACTTCTAGTTCTCCAATCCCCTGGCACAGACATTTATTGACAGTTCAACTACTTTTTTTTGCTGCGGCTAGTTCGGATGGTAAAGTTGAATGTAATTATGCACCCTTGACTGCCCAACACTCATGAACACTACCGCAACAGGATCAATGATGATTTCCAAACATGTAGACCAAGAGCCTCCAAAGTTGCTTAGCTCCAAGGCCCTTACAAGCCAATGAAAACAGTTTCGGTGACGAGCTGCTTTTGCGTCCGAGATTTGCAGTGAGTACAATTCACGGCCTCACTGTCATGAGAGTGAAATGTTGCTGATTGGAGAGCATTGCACCCTGCAATCACAATTTGTCACACGAAAATACAGGAACATTGTGGAACATTCCTGCAAATCACCTGTAAATGAGGAGTTCCAGGGTAGGGTATACTTACTCTTCAATCTAATCTCAAGAGCCGTGCCTAGTACCATGAGCATCTCCACTCAGCGGTGTTCTCTGCTTGTGATGTTTTGCAAACATAGTTGGGACCCAAGTCTTTACTGAGCAGTTTGCTCATGTCACACAGGTCGAAGCAATAGAATAGAATAGACCCTGAATGAGTGGGTCCACATATCAGAACTTGAATATTTGCTTCGAGCCATCCCTCACTTTCCCGGACACCTAATATTGAATATATCTATATTTGCATATATATGGCTATAGATTAAAACGTACAATGCCAGAGTTTGGTAGATTTTAGGGAGATGAACACCCATTTACCAGCTACAGGAAACGGACGAAGATACACCCCCATTGCACTGGATGTGCTTTCCCCCATGGAACTCCGCACTCCTATGGAACGCAGATGATTTCATGTTCAACCTTGTAAAAAGAGAAGTCTAGAATCTGCAAAACACCATGGAAAGCAAGTTGCACCATACCTCAAAAATCGAAACTTAGAGCTACTCTGCAGCTACTCTTAGATAAAGATTCTTGAGGTTTCGCCAATGCAAACGCTACAATTATGTCTTCTAGGATTTGGTCGCTTTTTTTTCAGTTCCCAAAATTTGGTTTTGGAGCGCACCTTTTGGGTCGCTGCTCTGCCCCTTTGATGATTTCTTTTTGGACTATGCCCTTTTTGGTTCGGCATTTGTCGCGTTTGCTTTCCTGCTCTGCACTGCAAACTGCAAGATGGCTTTGATGCTCAATTTTCCCTGATTCTGGGCGGCAAACAAAAGGGGACTAGAACGAGATCCCAGGAGCTTCGAACGAGATCCGGGAACCCCCAACACACTCATTTACCCACAGATGGACCAAGCAAAGCAAGCACACACACACACACCACCCAGAACTCAAAATAGGATAAGAAACCTCGCTGAACGGAGGTTGTAACTGGCTGCAAAGTATGTGTACCAGAGCTCATCTCCAAAAGCAATGCTCTTTTCACCCAATCGGAGCAACCCTGAAAACCCGATGGAAGTGTATATTGTGAAGACCGGGTGCGACTTCCTGCTTGCGGACACGCAGCGACGCATGCAGTGACTTACAAGGGGACAGTACATAGACATATAATGACACTATATATATATATATATATACATATGATCATATATGCTAAGATGTTCATTGACACATGTAGTGACACATTTATTGTTCAAAAGACCGAGGTAACACATATTGTAGCATACATCTGCATATGTAATTATATATCTGTATAGTATTGTATAGTATATAATATTAATATAATATAATATAATATAATCTGGGGTGAGGTTAGTGAAGGCAAAAAGTGCAATGTCATTATTTGAAAAAAAACATAGGCATGAAATCGGTAACCTTTATTTTATCCTTATGTAATATCATCGGTACTCTTTGTCATGATGATTAATCTGGATTGAGAAAATATCTTATGTAATATCTTGGCATGTGGACATTTAGAATTCAGAATAATAGGATCAGAGGTCCTAATGAGTTTACTCAAGATGATTTTATGAATGGGAAAATAAACGGTTGATTGTTCCTTAGCAATTCCATAGGGCTATATTATAGGCTATAATTTTATAAGAATAACGTTTTAATATCAGGAAAATGAACCGTTCATTGTCTCTACATAGCCCATTAGGGTAAATTAATGAATGCCCTGGCAAATTCATTAATAAATTAATGAGCACAACCAATTGTGGAATCACCCCATAAATTTTAAACCTATTATAGTATAATTGAAAAATAAGTATGGGAAATAATACAACCCCCGACTGCCACCGCCGCTGGCTGCCGCTGCTGTGGCACCCGGCGGCTTCTGGAGCCACCGCCGGGGCCTCAGCGGTTGCAGCGATCCTCCTCCTTCACCTCCTCCTCCTCATCATCATCATCGTCATCATCATCAACGTCATCATTATCATCATCATCACCATCGCCATCACCATCATCATCATCATCATCATCATGATCATCATCATCACCATTATCATCAGCATCATCATCATAGTCATCATCATCACCATCATCAGCATCATCATCATAGTCATCATCATCATCATCATCATCATGATGACCACCATCATCATCATCATCATGATGATCATCACCATCATCATCACCATCATCATCAGCATCCTCATCATCATCCTCCTCATCATCATCACCATCATCATCATCATCACCATCATCATGACCATCATCACCATCATGATCATCACCGTCATCGTCATCATCACCATCACCATCATCATCATGATCATCACCATCATCATCTGCCTCCTCCTCCTCATCATCAGTTTCCCCTTCATCTTGCCCTGGCTAGAAGAGTCCCTTAGGCCAAGCCAATGGCATATCTTTTTGATAGATTTATTTCTATTTGGTTTCGATGGATTGGATGACTAGCAATTTTAATTGAATTTACGTAATCACAAATTAGTCAACTACTATGGCCAGACCTTAGTGCCTTGCGATGCCTTTGTGGGGATTGTCATTGTGACACCCTGGGCTCCGATACTGTTATGCTCGATCAATGGGAATCAGATGGCGAGGAAATGGAGCTTAAAGGCACCTGACAATTTTTTGGCCCAGTAAAGAGTCCTGGTGCTAATTTATTGGAGTGGCATTGGACACTTGGTTCGACCACATGTGGGGGCTTGCTGATAGAAAACTGCCTTGGGATTGGGGTTGGGATTATTCAACCAACTTACCTGGCACCCATGAAATCCCTAATCACAATGGTTGAATACTTTAGACTTGCCTCTTGCCCGATAAACCATTGCTTTTTTACTGCCGCCAATGGGCCTCCAGTCAGGATAACCCCATTTTGGACACCCCATAATCAGTGTAATTTGAATATAGCATGGGTTAAACAGCTCCTCAATTGAAATATTCCCATAACAATATATTCCAAGTATCACACCACGGGTGAGCCCATGGGATTCCACACATCATTGCCTGCTCTCTGGACCTGCTCGCTGGGTTGAATGGATTGGGAATTGAACAGGATTTCTTCAGGGTCCCCTAGATATGAATTGAATTCAAATCCCACGAGTTATGGTTATAATTGGGGTGGGATTTGGATCAGCAGTAGCCTCTGCCATACCTCTGCCAGGACCGCACAGAAATACACAAAAATTAAAAAACCAGGAAAGTCCGACAGGCGCTGATAAGGAAATCAGTGCATGACGGATAGGGTCTGGCAGGCCCTATCCCCTGTGCACTCCAGAGCGCTACCGAGAGTGCCCAGCCTCTCCTGCACTTCCTTAACATCATAGGGCAAAAATTACGTATAGAGCCTATGCACTCCAAAATCCATGGTTCGTACAATGGTGGTGATAGGCTGGGTGCACTCCAGAGCGCTACCGAACGCACAGGGGATAGGGCCTGCCAGACCCTATCCGTTATGCACTGATTTCCTTATCAGCGCCTGTCAGACTTTCCTGGTTTTTTAATTTTTGTGTATTTCTGTGCGGTCCTGGCAGAGGTATGGCAGAGGCTACTGCTGATCCAAATCCCACCCCAATTATAACCATAACTCGTGGGATTTGAATTCAATTCATATCTAGGGGACCCTGAAGAAATCCTGTTCAATTCCCAATCCATTCAACCCAGCGAGCAGGTCCAGAGAGCAGGCAATGATGTGTGGAATCCCATGGGCTCACCCGTGGTGTGATACTTGGAATATATTGTTATGGGAATATTTTAATTGAGGAGCTGTTTAACCCATGCTATATTCAAATTACACTGATTATGGGGTGTCCAAAATGGGGTTATCCTGACTGGAGGCCCATTGGGGGCAGTAAAAAAGCAATGGTTTATCTGGCAAGAGACAAGTCTAAAAGTATTCAACCATTGTGATTAAGGATTTCATGGGTGCCAGGTAAGTTGGTTGAATAATTCCAACCCCCAATCCCAACGCGGTTTTCTATCAGCAAGCCCCCAAAGTCATGTAGTCGAACCAAGTGTCTAATGCCACTCCATTCAATTAGGACCAGGATTCTTTACTGGGCCAAACAAATTGTCAGTTTGATTCCCATTGATCGAGCATAACAGTATCGGAGCCCAGGGTGTCACAATGACAATCCCTACAAAGGCATCGCAAGGCACTAAGGTCTGGCCATAGTAGTTGACTAATTTGAGATTACGTAAATTCAATTAAAATTGCTAGTCATCCAATCCATCGAAACCAAATAGAAATAAATCTAACAAAAAGATATGCCATTGGCTTGGCCTAAGGGACTCTTCTAGCCAGGGCAAGATGAAGGGGAAACTGATGATGAGGAGGAGGAGGAGGAGGAAAAGGATAATGATGAGGATGGTGATGATGATGGTGATGATGATGGTGATGGTGATGGTGATGATGATGCTGATGATGATGATGATGATGGTGATGTGATGATGATGATGGTGGTGATGATGATGATGATGAGGGGGATGATGATGATGATGATCCTGATGATGGTGATGATGATGGTGTTGATGATGTGATGATGATGATGATGATGGTGATGACGATGGTGATGATGATGATAATGATGACGTTGATGATGATGACGATGATGATGATGAGGAGGAGGAGGTGAAGGAGGAGAAGGAGGGAAGGAGGAGAAGGAGGAGAAGGAGAAGAAGGAGGAGGAGGACAAGGAGGAGAAGGAGGAGAAGGAGGAGGATCGCTGCAACCGCTGAGGCCCCGGCGGTGGCTCCAGAAGCCGCCGGGCGCCACAGCAGCGGCAGCCAGCGGCGGTGGCAGTCGGGGGTTATATTATTTCCCATACTTATTTTTCAATTATACTATAATAGGTTTAAAATTTATGGGGTGATTCCACAATTGGTTGTGCTCATTAATTTATTCATGAATTTGCCAGGGCATTCATTAATTTACCCTAATGGGCTATGTAGAGAAAATGAACGGTTCATTTTCCTGATATTAACAAGTTATTCTTATAACTATAGCCTATAATATAGCCCTATGGAATTCCTAAGGGAACAATGAACCGTTTATTTTCTCAATCATAAAATCATCTTGAGTAAACCCCTTAGCACCTCTGATCTTATTATTGTGAGTTCTAGATATCCTCATGCCAAGATATTACATAAGATATTTTCTCAATCCAAATTAATCATCATAATAAAGAGTACCGATGATATTACATAAGGATCATAAATTACCGAAGTTCGATAATAATAATGAACATGAATTATTGGAATCATGTTGAAACAATAGCGGTTGTGGATGGAATCCAATGAATATTCCCAAAAAACATCTTGTCACTTTTTGACTTCCTTAACCTCTGGCCAGTAATATAATATAATATAATATAATATAGTAATAATATATACCGTCAACATACAAGCACATAGTCGTTGAGCCAGGCCTTCGAAATCTACCAATCACAGCCCGCGACATTTTTTGAACACGACGATCCAGCGAGGTGACCATTTGAAAATACCGTTTGGAAATATACCATTGATAAACTATGGTAAATTGATACCACTGATATTAACATATACCATACACAATATGTTTCCATATTTATTCAGTTTATTCAATTCAGTGAAAACTATGGAAGTTGCTACCACTGATACTACTACTAAACTGAAAACTGTGGGAATTCATACCACTTCACTATTGAAAACTGAAAACTGTGGGAATTTAATGGAATTGAATTTGAACGAAATTGAATGAAATTGATACATGACATATTGTTGATACGATTTTTTCGCCGGTGTTTTTTCAGGGGTTGCATGTGGCATGCTGCAAAAGTTCCCCGCCAAGGCACTGGAATCCAAAGATCAGAGCTACCAGTGTCAGGGACCACCTGGCAGGGTGCCCAATAATCCATGTTTCATAAGCGTTTATTGGTGGTTGCTTGTTCAAATTTGTCCTTCATCAACCCTTACTAGTGGTTGGTTAGTTGTTGTTAAGTAGCTCATTCGATTTTGTCTAGTGAGCCACGACGTGTCGAAAAGTGTCGAAAATGGTGGTTGTTGTTGTCGCTGTTGGTTCAATCCAGTTGGGAGTCCCCTCTGCGATCAACCGATCAATGCGGATCTCAATGAGTATCAGCTATCCCTCCTGAAAACCGTTCCGTTCGATTTTTTTCAAACCCAACAAGCCACCATTCAGGAGTGGTTTACTATGGTTTACCCTTTGTTGATCAAAAGCGTATGATCCGCTCGCGCCTTGAATTCTTGCCGCGGCTGATCAGGGCAG